CTTGTTCCATCTATTTACCTGCAAATGCCATAATTTCATTCTTCTTTAAGGCTGAGTAATATTCCATTGTGTATATGTACCACATTTTTTTTATCCATTCATTGGGTTAAAGGGCGTCTAGGTTGGTTATAGTTTAGTTATTGTGATTAGCTGCTATAAACATTGATGTGGCTTCATCACTGTAGTATGCTGATTTTAAGTCCTTTGAGTATAAACTGAGGAGTGAGACAGCTAGGTCAAATGGTGGTTCCATTCCAAGTTTTCTGAGGAATCTCCATACTGCTTTCCATAGTGGTCGCACCAATTTGCAGTCCCAAAGCAGTGTATGCTGGCTTAAATTTCTTAAACTGTGATGAGGAGGGTCACACTGCAGCTGAGAGCTATCAAGTCTCTAGTTTGTTCAGCAGGAATGGTATGGCAGATAGATTTACAGTCAGGATCATGGAATGAGCCAGATCCAGTAATGATGTAGGGAAGAGGTTATGCTTTTATTTTTCCAGAAGGTGCTGAGAAGCAGATTTGGATACCTGAGAGAGCAGTGCATCATCAACATGGATCTAATAGCCAGACTGGACCCCCAGTTCAAAAGATTGAGGATCGCTCCAGAAACAGTGGTACTACAACAACAGCCGCCTCCAAAATCTCAGAAGAAAAGAAAAAACCGAGAGAAATAAGTAACCAGCAGAAGGCACTCTAAGTGCAAATCCCCCAACTTGGGATCAGATGGAGAAGTTGATGATTGGGCTGGGGTTGTGGCTCCGTGGTGGAGCACTCGCCTAGCTTGTGCGAGGCCCTGGGTTGGATCCTCAGCAAAAATAAAAAGTAAATAAACAAAATAAAGGTATTGGGTCCACCAACAACTAAAAAAGAAATTCTTAAAAAAAAAAAAAGTTGATCGAAGCTCAAAATGTGGTTGAGAGTCAAGGGACCCCTATGACACCAGCTACTGTGTTTATGGCAATGTTGGCCATTGTAGGTTGTCAAGTATGTAGGGTGACAGGAGGAACTTATTGGACATATTTTTCAGATCTTGCTGTAATTAATTCCACTACTTGGGCTGGAGGATCTCTCCTAGTGTTTACAAATTATTCTGCCGTGATGGGGGTGTCAATCTGATTTTCATATCATTCCCTATCATTACTTTCATTGTACTTATTCTGGATATAGTGTTGAGACTCCTATTTGTCTATTTATAAAAAAAAAAAATGGAGTGCTTACAAGTGTCCCAGGAATATAAGATATCCTACAGTGGTACTCGTGTTGCCATGGTTTCCTGTCCTTGGGATTTAAAAAAATATGTACAAATTATTATCAAAACAGATTTTCTTAATTCTGGTTATGAGGATTCTGTCAAATACCCTCCATTTCCTTATTGCCCTAATTCCACCACTTCAAACCTGGGACTTTTCCTCATTGGCTAGATTGTACTAATTTAGTTCTTGTAAGACATGATATTTCCCAGTCTGAGTCATATGTCCTAAACTGGTCTCATAAGTTTGATTTAGCACATCCTCATAATGAACTTACAGCTCCTGGAGGCTTTGCTAGTAATATCTTGACTATACGATCAGGAGGCATTCAGAAGGATTTATGGCATCTAGCTGCTGCTTTAGATTTTGTTAACTCTAGTCAATTGCTTACAGATCTAACCGGTGATTGTATCGCTAACTCATGTTATGGTTTGCAGGTGCGTGTCCAGACTCCTGTTATTAACGGGAAATACTAATATCACAAAAAATGGAGAGTAATTGACATTTTGTACAGTGTACTAACTATAATCTCAGTAACTGTGTGACTAGACATAACAAAGATCAAGATATTTTGGCTTTATACCAGTCTTCCTTCCTTATGCTTCTCACTAGCAAATATAAAAGACTGATGTCAAGATGCAGGGCTACAGGTTCTTCAAGAACTTCATAATCAACTGATTGGCTCATGGAATGAAGTGGGACTTAGTCTTTGGTATTGTTATTTTAATTACCGTGATTGCTTCTGCAAACACTGCCTCTGTTTCTCTGGCACAGGATATCAATCAGCTTGTTTTGTCAACATTTGGCACAAAATACTTCAAGAGCCCAGTATGGTGGCTTATGCCTGTAATCCCAGTGGTTTGGGAGGCTGAGGCAGAAGGATCTTGAGTTCAAAGCCAGCTTCAGCAATGGCAAGGCACTGTACCAAAAAACAAAACAAAACAAAACAAAACAAAACAAAAAACCAACAACAACAACAACAACAAAACAACCCTCAAAGATCAGGAGGCTATTGATGATAAACTTAAAGCTAAGTTAAATCTTTTAGAAGCTGCTATAATGAGTTTAAATGATCAGATTCAAAGTCTTAAGGTCAGACAACAATTACAATGTCATATTGTTTATTGATTCATACATCTGTAATCCTGCTGCTCAGGAGGCTGAGGCAGGAGGGTTGCAAGTTCAAAGCCAGCCTCAGCAATTTAGCAAAGCTTTAAGCAACTCAGCAGGACTCTGTCTCTAAATAAAATATAAAAAGAACTAGGGATATGGCTCAGGGGTTGAGTGTCCCTGGGTTCAATCCCCAGGGGCAAAAAAATTAAAAAATAAAAATAAAAAGCAAGGAGATATGGAGAGCTGATGAGCCCCCAGTCATCAGCTAAAAGCCAAGCCTGGGGAACATTGCTTGCCAAAGGTGAGGATGTTATCAGCCTTGACTCTCAGCTCTGATGCTAACAGTTATCAGGCATCCCAGGACAATGAGTGTCCTGGGTTCAGCAGGATAATAGCAAAATGTTCTTAGCACTGCAACAGTAGGAGAGCTACAAAAAAATGTTTCTAGCTCTGTAAATTTTTAGTGCATAAAGAAGCCTTTGACAACTTACAAGCCTTGGACAATTTACAGTGCCCCTGTAGTTTAACTTCCTGATTCAGAGACCCTATGTAATAAACGTGCGGAGCTAGTTCTGGGTCTCTGTGGCACCATCAGAGTGCAGTCTCCCACCTGGCCCCAGCTTTTTGTGAAATCACCTCTGTGTCTTCTTTGTCTCTGTTTTTCTTCATCTCCCATCACCCCTACTAGAGAATCCTTTGTTGATGCTGTGCAGGTCACAGCAGTATAATCCACCATTTTAATAGTGAATAGCTCTGTGGCATTTAGTCCATTCACAATGTTGTACAACCCTCATCTCTGAAGGCYCCAAAACATTTTTGTCACCCCAAAAGGGGACCTTACACTCATTACACAGTTGTTCCCCCTTGCTCCTTCCCCCAGCAAAGGGACTTTCTGTCCCAGTTCTAGTTCCTAATTTCTGAGTCCCTCAATCCCTTACTCATCAAATTGCCTTCTATGCCTTTTTTCAAACTCTAACAAGGCTTTTGCTACTGTGAAGCCACCATCTCAGGGGGGAGTTTAGGAATTGCCAGCTTAAGTAAAAGCATTAATTGAGAACCTCTGAAAGCAGGCACTCTGGATCCATGATTTCATCTAATCTTCATTATGAGGCACTTCTCAGTAACTAGAAAAATCTCAGCTGGGGGAAATGACATTTTTAAAGATTTTTAAATACAGATACAATTTGCATAAGACAAAATGCATCCTCTGAGTGTACAGCCTTATGGGTCTCCACAAAAACATGTGGCCACACAGCCACCGAGGCCACGACCATCAAGACATAGAACCCTCTAACATTTCTTCCCTTCCTAGTCACCCCCTCCCCAACGCCAATCCCTAGAAGGCACCTGTCTACAGTTTTGCCTTTTCCAGAATATCCTTTGTATGGACTCAGTATGCAACATTTTGAGACAGACTTCTTTTGCCCTTTATAATACACTTGAAATTCGTCTACACTGTTGCACATATTGACAGTTTGTTTCTTTTCTTCTTTTTTTTTTTTTAATAGAGAGAGTGAGAGAGAGAGAATTTTTTTTTTAATATTTATTTTTTAGTTCTYGGCGGACACAACATCTTTGTTGGTATGTGGTGCTGAGGATCGAACCCGGGCCGCACGCATGCCAGGCGAGCGCGCTACCGCTTGAGCCACATCCCCAGCCCGACAGTTTGTTTCTTAATATCACGGAGTAACACTCCATTGCATCGATGTATCACTGTTAATTTACCAGGTTCAGGATATTTGGGCTGACTCCAGTTTGGAGCACCTGGGAACAAAGCCATGAAAACATTCACACACAGGTTTTGTGGTAATATGAATTCCATTTTCTTAGGCAAATATCTAGGAGTGGGTTTCTGGGTTGTCAGAAAGGTGTGTACTTGTATCAGGGACTGCCCCATTCTCTTCCAAAGAGGTCACACCACTTTGCATTTTCTAGCAGCTGGAGTGCACACCTTCTTCTTTTTAGATATACATGACAGTAGAGTGTACACACATGGAGGATAACTCATTCTAATCAGGATTCCATTCTTGAGGTTGTACATGATGTGGAGTTTCACTGGTGTGAAAAAAAAAGTGTTTGAATGTGACGCTAAGAATGATGCCCTGCGCGCTCGCTGCGCTGAGCACTTTATATGCACGCATTGTCTCTTTTGACTCTCACAAGCTCCCTTTAAGATCGTGTCGCTCTCCAAATTTTAATGAATTTGGAGACAGCCTCAGAGAGGTTAAGCCATTTTCCCAAGGCGCACAGCAAGTCCAAAGTCCCAGCTGGTGAGCTTCACAAGTTCGGCGGCCGGTAGACGGCGGGAGACTCCTGGAGGTGGGTTAACCGGGTGGCACCTCGCCGCAATGCCAGCAGGGGTCCGAGTTCAGGCCGTGGAACCGTCCGGGTCCCGCCCCCGCCGCAGGAGGATCAAGGCTGAGGATTGGCGGCGGGGGGGTGTGAGGGGGTGGAGCTCCCGCTCTTCRGTGGGCGGGGCTGATCGCTGGCGGTAAATACCGCGCCACATGGCACGGAATAGCGGGGGCGGTGTGCGGAGAGCGCAAGCGCATTGAGAGGGGGCGCTCACTGTCTCTGCGGCTCCGCCGGCGAATTCTCGCGAGAAGATGTTGGGGGCGGGACCTCGGCGCCGGGGGCGGGGCCGTGCCTGGAGAGGGTCCGCTAGTCGCGCGGCCGCGGCGGCGGAGGCTGGCGAGGTGAGGAAAGGGGCGCCCGGACGAGGTGAGGAAAGGAGCGCGGGGCTAGGGCCTGGGACGGACCGTGCGGCACTCGGTCCTCAGGCGGGGACGGGCCGGGGTCCCGCGAGWGGGGCGCGCTGTGGCCGGTTGAGGGTGCTCCCCGCCCGGCCTTGGCAGGTCCGGTGCGGCCCGGGTTCGAGTCCCTGCACCGGCTCGCTGTGTGACCTTGGCCTGGCGATCACCCTCTCTGAGCCCTCTGCTTGCGGGGTCCTGGCCCGCAGGATGCGCGGAGAAAGCGTGTGGCCGCCTGTTCCCCTTACCCCTCTGCGGGCCACCTCTCCTCCGGCGACCGAGCTCCTGGCCCTGCCGGCGTTAGCAGTTTTGTTCTTTGGCTGCCTGAGCATCTGCGAGCAGAATCAATAATTGTTGAGGGATGACAAAGGTGCTGCAGTGTCCCGCGGAACCCGTCCCCAGGAGCCCTGGCGGTGGTTAGTGTGCGTTGCCCCGCGGGCAGAGACTGTGCACCCACCCAAGCCCCCGGGTCCACACCTGCCCCCCAGTGTGCGGGCGGCTTTCTGCTCCAACTCCGCTTCCCTTCGCTGCGTCAGGCCAGCAGAGCGCAGACCCCAGCTCCAGGCGGAGGTGGCAGAGCATCACCTAAGTGACCCTTTGCTCCAGTCGGAGCCCCCCTGCCTCTTCAGGGGGAGGAAGCTTTGCATGAGCCGCTCACAGGAGGACCTATCTTCTCTTCGGGCTCTTGGCCCAAAGGCATGGCTGGCAAGCCCCTGGCCCGCACAGGGGTTCCGTCTGGCAGGGCGCACAACAARCTGTAGTGTTTTCACAATTATTAAATTATTTATTTTATAATCCGACACTGGAGGGATGAATAAGAATGTGAAGTCCCGGCGTCTGTCTGCGGGTGCCCTGCATTGTCACCAGTGCTCTGGGTATCTGGGAGCAGCTTTCTGGGCCTTCCCTGCCCCCACGGCAGGACCCGGCTTAGCCTGGGTCAGCCCTTCTCTGGGAGCATCATGTGTTGGGAATGTGAGTCAGCGCTGGTGTCTGGGTGGAAGGAGAGAAAACAAGGATAATTTGGAAATTGCCATGTGAAATCCCCTTTTTGTGGGTTTGAAGTGTGTCTGTCTGGGATGGCAAGGGGCTTGCACATGAGTCCATAGGACTTTGTGCTGAGGCTTGCAGGCTGGCAGGGTCGGCTCACCCGATGCACCCCAGCTCCATCAAACCTCCAGTCACGTGCAGGACAGCAAGTTGGGCTGGATAGTGCACATCCAAGGGCCTTGCCCTGGGCTGGCTGCTCCAYGGTCAGCCTGGAGCTAATGCAGGGTGGCTGGTGCTACAAGCCACACGTTGGCAGAGCGAGGGAAGAGGGAGCCGCTCAGCTTAGTTGTTGAGTTGAAGTTTTCCACAGTGGAGCCGGCCTTGGGGGATGAGTTTGGGGAAGACTCTGGTGGAGTCAGTATGCAACATTTTGAGACAGACTTCTTTTACCCCTCATAATATGTTTGAAATTCGTCTTCACTGTGCACATATTGACAGTTTGTTTCTTAATATCACAGAGTAGCAGCAGAGCGGTGGAAGTGGAGATACCTGGGAGTTGCTCCTCCTGGAATGGGGATTGGGTGGAAGGATGCGTTTATGATTGGGAAGGACCTGGAAAGCCAAGCTGGGGAGTTTGAGTTTCATGCCCTTGGAGAGGAGCAGTTGAGGTCTGGGTGGAAGATGGTTGGATCTGTATTCCAGACAGGCTAGTCATACTAGTGGAAATAGGAAGTGGATTTAGGGCCTGGGGAGATGCAGACTGTTGGGTAGGCTTACAGGGGGAGGGGGTGTTGAAGACAGTGGCTGAGAGAATGGGGGGCGGCAAGAAGCTAGAGACTCACCTGGGTGGTGGTGTCTTGTGGGCTGCGGGGAGAGGCAGAGAGAAGGCAGAGGTAGCTGGATGTCTTGAATGGGCGCTGAGGGCATCATTGGCACCTTTGATGAAGAATTGCTGGAGCAGGGTGGGAGCAGGAGGGGGGAAGACGTAGCCCACTGCGGGGCTGCCTGTGGCCAGGCAGGTCACTGTCACTCTGCACAAGTATCAAGGCTGGTGGGTGATTCTCTTCTAGAGAGGCCCAGGGCTGAAGGTGCTATAGGTAGAAAAGAGACTGCTTATTGATAATTCTGAAACAAATGCAGCTAATCTCTAATTTTAAAATCTTTAGTTTCAAGTTTCAGATTCTTTCTCTTCAGAAAGTAGCTGTAAGCTTCACACCCAGTTGGTGGCTCTAGTCAGGGCTGGTGCCTGGAGATAACTGACCTTCTAACATAATGCTTCCTGCTGTTAACCAAGGAGGTGGTTTCTGTAACTATTTAGAAACTTTAAAAGTATTTCAGACAAGAATGGGAAACACCAGGCACCACTGAGAATGGGCGGGGGTGGGGGGCAGGTGCACTGCTATTCAGAACACAAGAGGATGCCACAAGAAAGCTCCAGAACKCGACCAGTGGGTCTTTCCCTCCAGGCAGGAGGATGGCTAAGTCTTTGGGGAATCTGAGAAGCCCAAGAGAAAAGACGTAAAAATATTAATAAAGGGAGACCCTGGCAAGAAGGCCTGGCTGGATCACTTACTAACAGAGTTCAAAATTAATAACCCTCTCCTAGTGTTCAAAACACCCAGGTTCTTTTACCCCCATCCCTGAAGTGTGCACAGCTAACCAAGGACACCAAAGAAGCACCCTGATGTGGGAGCCCGGGTGGGACACTCGCCTGGGAGCAGCAACCAGTGTGCAGGAAGGAGACCCSGGAAGCAGACGCCCCTGCTCTGCAGTGAAGAGGAGAGAAGATATTACAGACATGGAACAAGGATGGAAAGTTTTACCAAAAAAGGAATGTTCAGAGATCCAAAAAGAGAACCCTTGGATATAGAGAGTGACCGTGGAAATAAGAAACCCAGTTTGCAAGTAAAAAATAAAGTTAAGAAACTCTCAGAAAGTAGAACAGATGGCAATCACAAGGCTCTGGGTTCAATTMCCAGCACCACAAAAATAAAATAAAATAAAAGTAGCACAGAAAAGCAGTGAGATGGAAAAAAATGAGAGAAAAAAAGAAGAAAATCAAAGAATTAGTTCAGGAGATCGACAGCTGAATATTAAGAGTTTCAGCAAGAAAGAACTGAGAAAAGAGCATGAAATCATTCACAGAATAACTTCTGGAACCCACATACTTGCCCAGCACCAAGGATGAGAGCTCAGGTAGCCCTGGTGTGCAGAGCTCCATCCCCACCAAGCCTGGGCAAGAGGATCTGGGGGTGAGGGATGCTGTMTCAGGCAGAGACTAGTGGAAGTTTGGCATGCAAGGGATTCATCTGAAAGTGACGCTGTCAGCTCCAGAATTTAAGTGATGAGTGAGGTGGAGAAAGATCTCTGAGGCCCGCTCCAAGGCACCCTGTTGTAGGTTCATAGAACACGGGAACACAGAATCTGTGGTAACTTCTAGCAAAAAATAAATAAAAACAGACCATAGACAGGTCCCCACTCACCAAGAAGCAGCATGGCTTTGGACTCCACAGGAGCCTTGGACACTAGAAGATCAAAGAGCCTTGCTTTCAAAATTCTGAAGGAAAACATTGTCAACCGTGAGGGGCAGGAGGGTAGAATTGACATCTCCAAGAACTTCCCCAAATTTGCCACCTCTGAACTTTAAGGAGGTGACTGGCCAACATGCCATCCCGGAACAAGCTGGTGCACCAGAGAGAGATGGGGGTGGGGAGATAGCTGSCTGCAGGCAGGGTGGGGCCTGGTGCCTGGCAGCTCCCTGGGAGTTGAGGTCCCTGCCCTGAGCCGCTCACAAAGCTCCTTGAAGGGACTTTTTTTGGAAGAAGGAGATGATGAAATTAACAGGACACCCGATGTGCTGGGACATCTGCAGAGGAGATTTAAACCTTGGCAGAGTTGGGCTGGATTAGTGATAAGTGCACGGAAAACAAAGCAAAGAAAAACACAAGACTGTTATTAGTTCCCAGGAAAATAAACCATTGTGCGGGCAAAGAAAAATAATTACGGTGTCCAGGAYGAGCTGTGAATAGTCTCTCCACACTGGTGACAGTGTGGGTAAACACTCACTGCTACTCTAATCGGAATGATATTCCTGTGTGGGGACCAGGTGGGGAGGGGATAGCAGGCGTGTAAAGGGTCAAGGGCGGGGGAAGGRAGCTCCATTCTCAGCCTGCCCTGGTGGGAGTTCAGTCCCCAAACAGAACAGCTAAGCGGTAGCTCTGAGGCACGTGGTGAGCAGGAGTCACACACTAAGATCAGCAGATTAGCAGGTGAGGGTGGGGGAAGGAGGGAAGGCCTGCTGTGCTTCCTAGTTGGGGACAGTTTAACCCCTTGATGGATGTGCAGGTACAACACTGTACAAAGGCTCTCCAAGCAGCACCCTGCTTTGGTGGAGCGAGAGACCAGTGCCGCCTGTGTTGTGCACAGGCCCCTCTTAGCAGGCAGAATTTACTTGTTCTCATTTCCTCTTTATTATTGTCCTTGTTCTCTGTATCCTGTCTCCAGTTCATGGACACTTGTCAGAGTCTTGGTGCTTTTTTTTTTTAAGCCATTTTTGTTTCTTTTAATGTTTGTAAAGGGATTTTTAAATTGGAACCACAGGTAGAGGGCTAATGAGCCCTCTTCACCTGCCACTGGTTTCAGAAATGAGCAGGGTCCGTGGTGTCTGTTTTTATTAGCACAACACCTCCTTGTGTCCTCAAGGCACTTCCCAGAGCCTTGAGGACACAGCTGTGACAAGCAGGAAGAGAACTCCCTCCTGAAGTTTCTGTTTTGTGCAGGTGGTGACAGTAAGCAGACAGATGTGACTAGGACCCAAGTGGGAATGATGCTGTGGAGAAGCAGGAGCTGGGCTACGGGGTGGGGCTGGGAGCTGCCTCCTTGAGAAGCCTGGGGAAGGTCTCACCAGGATGAGCTTTGGGATAGCTTGGGCGCCCTCCAGCACAGGGATGGTCCGTGCAGAGGCTGCAGTAGAAGCCTGCCCTA